ATAAATTAATATAAATATATCTTTAAAAATTATTTCCTTTATAACTCTGGAATATTTTTCACGAATAAATTGTCGATCAATATACACTGATCACGTAAATTAGGGCCGTAATATCCTTTCGAGAGCAGTGTCTTCCGACGCCATATCTGCCGACAGACGCGATGGCCGGCCTTGTTAAAAAAAAAAAAGCCGCCCTCCAGGCAGCTATCAACCCCCGCAAAATCGGTCCCTCCCGCAACGAAATCAGCCTCATCGAGAGACTACCACCCTAAACTCTCGCGAGAATATATTTCGGCGGGAGCCGCCTACGTGTCTGCGGCTCCCTTTCAATTTCCACGCGGTTCGCGGCCGCCCTTACACGAAGGAAAATATTTGCCGGAAACCGATACAACGTGCGGCAAACAATATGCGCCCGGCGCTATCCAATAAATCCGGTAATAAAGCTCCCCGATACCGAAAAACGAGAGAGCCGCTGTAAATTTAATGAATGCTCTTGACATCGATCGACTTCGGGGAAACTAAAAGGGAGAATTCGCGCATGTCGGGCGAAGTGAAAAATAACTTTTCCGGCACATTATGACGCTTATTAAAAAGATTTTTTTGTAGCAATAAAATTATCGGTAAATGCACGAGAGATCAAATTGTTCAAATTGTATAATGAATATCTTAAGGAAATTATATTTTTGAACAGATATAAACTACGACGATAATTAGTGGTTCTTCATGCGAAAATCCTCGACGTGAATCCTACGAAGGTAGCGTAACGTAAATCATTTACACATACTATCGTGAATAGGTAATTACCCTGCGTGACCCGGGGTCATGCGTATACATCTACGAAATCTAGATCAGACACGAAGTGGAAGATGGGTAAAATCCATTGGTTCGAGCTCGAATTATAAAACTTATTGTGCTGTCTAAAAAATGCCGCTCTGTGTAATCAGATTACGTTGGTAAAAAAATCTTTTCATTCAATTTCAAAGAGGATTTAATTACGACGAGCTGCTGCTCCATTACTGATCGCCAATGCGGGCGTTGGCAAATTTACAAATTGTTCAAGAAGGGAGGGGGGGGGAGGGAGAGGAAACCTATCCTATCTCCTAATCCTAATCGAATAGTTTCGTAGATAGGTATTGCCATTCAGAAAATTGACGGTCGTAAACATTCGAGGACGCGAGTTATTAATCCGACATGCGAGGAAATTACACGATTAATGATATTAACTCTACGAACAATTAAATATTGTTCGATCAATCGAAACACTACAAGATATAATTGCAACGTCATTTATCAAGCAAATGTCAATGTTTCTGATAAGAAACCTTTATCAGCTTACATTTGTGGATGGAACAACGTTCGTTAATAAATAAATGACCGCGAAATTAAAGGAACGAAATTCTTCAACTTAGAATAAACATAAGAAAACGAAGAAACATTTTCGGACACTCGTATCATCATTCGGAACAGTGTTCATTCCACGCACAATCGACACTAACCGCGCGTCTTCGATGCGATCGGCGTTACGCTGTCGTGCGAACTATCGGAAGGGCGAGCTTTCGACTCGTAGCGTCTGTCTTCGCGTCTAACCGTGGCGTCGCACCGACAGCGATCGTCACCGTCGGCAATTAAGCGCGAGGAAACGCCGCACTCTATATCTCGGGGATATGGGATGACACTTGCGCGACGGTGCACGGATCACGGAAATTCAGTCGTTTCACTCACTGGTGTCGGAGTTGTGCACGGGGGTGGTCGCCGGTGTGCTGGGGGCCTGATGCTGCGTCGACTGCGTCGGTATCCCGAGGGAAGCGAGGAGCGGTCGTGGCACCGCACCCGGGGTGGCGCTCGGCGGCGGCGGGCTCTCCTGGCCTACGAGCAAACTCGCGGGCGGGAACCCGAAGAGCTGGGATCACTGGAGCCTCGGCCAATAGTTGCCTGCCAGGTCCGGGGTCTGCGAGGGAATTTGCACCGGCACCGAGACGCCGGCTGATATCACTCCTGAAACAGTTTCAGATGTCGGGGGATTGAGCACATTTCATGCGACGGCACGAGAGCTGTCGAGGCTCTGGAAAACGGAACGGAAAGGAAAGGTAAAAAGTAATTGTAAACGAGCGAAGCAATACGGATGCTACAAATGATGGGGGCTGAATCTTATGGCACACAAGAAACAGATATTTAATTTTCCACACGAAAGAAAAAGTTTCGCTGAAGCATCTAAAATATCGGCTAAATATTATATACAGATCTGAAAATAATTTCCTTGAACCATCAAAATAATTATGTAAGACACCAAATTAATTCAATTGGTTAAAATTTTTGGCAGCGTTACTCAGTTTGTTCGAAATTCCCAATTTGTGATAGTCCAACAAAATTATTTCAAAAATAAGTACGACCTTATTTATAAATAATATACATAATTATGATAGGGAACGCCAATAATCGGGCAAAGTTAGATGTTATGAATACAATATATATTCTTAATTTTAAATTTAATTATCTTAGATGTGACTTAGATGTGTGCGCCGAAACGTTCGAACATTAACCACAATCGATCTGAGACGCTATAATATAAATATGAATATGATAAGGCGCCAAAATATTCGGACATTCCTACATATAAGATAATCCCCCCTAAATTAAAATTATTTCAAATTTTTATTCAGTTAAATTCTTAGATACTTCAACAAAATCATTCTTTTCCGTAGGATGTCGTTCGATAGTTTCAAAATTGAAGAATAAAATTCCTAAGATAATTTTCCGTGTCGCTTTAAATAAATTAAATTATTCATCTCGTCTCATTATTATTTAATGATTTAATTTATTTCACTATTTTGTAACAATGCATGTATCTTCTTGATTAAGAAAATACAGTTTCAGCAACTTGCGACTATCATTGCGAGCGGAACGCGTCATTAATCGCATGAAACACAGTAGTAGGACTAATTCGCTAAAAACAACCGAGTACGTATTTACGGAAAACACGACATGAAACGCATTCGCGAGTGTCGCCCGCGGCGACGGTTGCATAAATAGTATTCGGTTATGATAGCGCGCGGCGGCTTCGCACACTTCTGCAATTTGAATTAAACACCTTAACGAGCTGCGTCTAATCCAATATAAACTTGCCGCGAAAACATTTACGCTCTATGGGCCTCGCGTCGTAACTTCGTTCCTCGCATGAGCTATAATTATGGCATAAATGCAAGACGGGTAATTTGGCAAACGTTGCAACGAGAACGCGAGCCATATTTACGTTAACCGTGAAACTTTTATTTAGTTAAAAATTAACATATTCAAAATATCGGAAGTTAATCATGAAAATAAAATAGAAAAAAATAGAAATAGAACAGAATCCTATTCATTTGCGTTTCTGTAATTCAACGATAATATCAAATAAATTGAAAGACATTTAGTACGTACATAACTATTTATTTCATTGATATGTGACTAACAAAAACTTTTTCACTTTTTTTATTTAAAAATTGTATTGTTCTAATCAAAATTTGGTTCAGTTAACCAATTGAAAAGAATTTGAATATAATAGAACAATACAATAATTTTTAAATAAAAAGTTAGAAAGTTTTTATTAGTCGCATATCGACAAAATAAATGGTTATACGTACTAAAGCATTTCTCTTAATGTAGGGTACTTTAATTCAAAGATGATCGATGCTGCCGCAAAATAATTTCTTGGCCACGCGACTTTTTAGATTCCGACATTCAATCGCATCTTCCACCAATCTCTCGAGAGTTTCATCATCTTTAACTTCATATCCAACGAATACTGTCATCTCAATGTCGAGGGATTAATCGAATATCCGTAACTCTCTCGCTCACCACGTCCGCCAACTGCGAGGCAAACTCACGCGGTTACGCTCGTTTCCGCGGTTGAATCCTGCTAACTCCGGGGGCGGCTACTTAACTATGAAAACGGCGCCGTTTGAGCCGGCAGGACAGGCGCGGCGCTAACGAGCGCGGTGAAAGTCCTTACGGCGCTCGTGCACGTAAAGCGATTATGATGGATAACCCGCGGCTCGTTCCGCACGTAAGGAGCAGGAATGGCGGGAAAACGAGAGAGGGGGAGGGATGAAAGAGCAGAAAGGAAGAAAGACGGCCGCGAGAAGAGTGTTCGGGACAGCGAGAGGGATAGCGGGGGTGGGACACACAGTGCGCGCGTGTTCCGCAGTATTCCACCATTCCGGCTTGTGCTCCGCTCCGTTCCGTTCCTGTAGATACGCCGCGCACCCCCGTATTTCCTCCCCTTTGGGTTCGCACGTTATTGAGCGCTCGCCCAGCCGAGGCGAGACCCAACCCATCCACATCCTCTGTTCACCCCTGTATATCCTCAGGAGGGAGAGGAAGCGAGAGAGAAAGAGAGACGCGGAGAAAGAGGCAAAAGGGAGACCGGCGGAGGGCGACGAGAAGGACAGATAGATGGATAGACACGAAGGAGCGAGCACATCCCTCACGAAGGGAAGAGTATAGAGGCGAAGGGGATGGAAGAAAGGGGGAGGAGAGAGAGAGAGAAGAGGCGCGACCCTCCGTGGTGGCTTTCGCTAAACGGAAGACGAGAGGGTGAGATAGTGAGATAGACGGAGAAAAGGGATAACAGAAGAAGAGAGTCGGGAGAGAAAAGAAAGAGCCGAGTGGAGAGGAACCGGCATGTAAAAAAAAAGAGAGAGAAGGGAGAGAGAAGTTGAGTCGAGAAAATGGAAAATTCACCAGCTACATCGGCGGGGTTGGAAAACCGCCGAACATCCCATTCTTCGATTCAGCCCAGCGGCGCCATGCGAGATTTGTTTTAAAATCCTTTTACAATTCCGTGGGCGAGCATGGAGCCGCGACCACGTCGTTGCCCGTTCGCTCTTTATATCTCTCTCTCTATCTCTCTCTCTTGTTCTGTTAGCAGGACTATGTAGATTGCGTGTGAAGAGGCTCCCAGGTAATTCTCGACGCTTTATTTCGCGCTTTGAGCCGGCTAGAGCACGAGGAAGAAGAAACGGCAGTCGCTCGCCGAGCGAAAATTGGAAACGAAAACCCCTACTGGTTTTTGACGAGAATTCGTTCTATCATTACATTCTCGTACATATACTGTATGTTGTATCAATGAATGCATAGAATTTTTGAAGATAATCTAAACAATGGGAAAGAGAGTTAAGAAAAAAATTTCATAGCTATTGAGAGAGAGAGAGAGAGAGAGAGAGAGAGAGAGAGAGAGAGATGTATATAATATTTCGATATTTTTGCTAGTTAAGGATGTATTTGCTAGTTAAGGTGTACAAGCTTTGCAAAAAGAGAAACTGGAAATTTATACTTTCCATATAAAGACAATTGATATATACACGTAAAACAGATCAATAAGATCAATATTTATATTAAATAATATAATTTTCAAATTTTTTAAGTAAAAATTTTCCCATTTTATCTTAATTATTTTTTTAAAATTGTGTATTTATTATTGAAATAATTTTTTATTCAGGTTCTTAATCGCCTGTCAAATTTCTTGGATGACTTTCAAATATAATATAAAAAAATCTGTAATATTTTTATTTTTCATTCTGTTAAAAAATAATACATCTTTAATAGTAATATAAAATTTCTACTCTTAAAATAACTATAAGAAATAACGAGTAATAAAAACCAATGGAAATATAAATATGCTTAATCGGAAAATCGCAGAAGCAATGAAAAAAGAATTTTTTAAATTTGATAAAAAGTACCGTTTTGTTATTTGTAAATATTTTGAAAGACATGATTATATGTATATAATATTTTTCCTCTTATAAGAGGACATCGTTAGTTGCTTCCGGCAAACTCTAATTATTCCTGGCTCTACCTAAATTATTCTTGAGTGACCTTGAAAGCACGAGGCACAGAGAACACGAGAAATTAGTCGGTGGCGAGAACTCACCGGTTGCGGTCGAGGTTGTCGGCTGATAAGGTGCTCCACCTGGTCCGGCGGGTTGTCCCCCTGGAGTCGTGGGGGTGCCACCGTGAGACGTCGGGATGCCGCGATGCGGTTGCGAGTGCGCGGCCGCGGCCGCGCTGTGCGCGTGAGAGTAAGACTGCGTGAGCGAATGGAGAGGCTCGTGAAACACGTACGCCGGGTAGCCCTCAGCGCGTTGCTGAAGACAGCTTCCACCCATTGACCCGCCCAGGCTGCTTGACATCGAGCTACGAGTGAGAAAAGCATCCATATCGAAAAACAACCAACTACTCAACAAGTCACGATATGCATTGGCATGCATAAATTCTAATTACAGTAACGTAATTACATTTGCAAATGGAGTTTCAGGAGAGTCAGTTACAGAAATATTTAGCATCAAAATTTTTAGCTTTGTGATTAAGATTTAACAAAATTTCAGCAGAGTCATTTTACTTTTTACAACAATGAATATCGCGCTGTTACCGAACGATCGAGATTTACTCTTGCATATAAATTTTACGTTTGAGAAAAATGGTGTTTCTTTAACGCAAAAAAATTCTCTAACCTGTACGTGTCGGGCATAGTGGCAATCGGTTGCGGTATCGATGAGTACATGGCGTTGAATCCAGCATTTAAGGGTAACCGTGGCGTAGCAGGGGTGGCCGCGGGAGGCGCGGTGCCGCTGCTACCCCCGCCGCTGCCACCGGCGACCACCTGATCGACGGCGGCCCTCCTCTGGTTCCGTAATTTCTCCTCTCGACGCCACTTCGCTCTGCGATTACTGAACCACACCTGCAACCGACACAATGACGGTGCCTTTGTCACGATAAGTGTGCAGCCGCACACTCGCCGCCGGCACGGTATTTCACATCATCCGCACTCGTCCGCATTCGTACTCATTCGCACTCCACGACTCTCTTCTGCTTCCTCTCCGGAGAGAACGCCTTCATCCTCCCCGAAACACCCTGTTGTCTCGTTCCCTCCCCTCCTTCTCTCTCTCTCTCTCTCTCTCTCCCCCTCATCCCTCTTTTTTTCCGCCTCTATCCGACTGAGCCTCTTGTCTACTCTTCAGGTAGCACGAAATCTAGTACCCAGACTACTCTACTCTTTTCGCATCTCGTGCGAACAGAGGCGCGAGTTTGCACGAGGCGCTTCTCCAATTTGTTAATTGCGATTGAGCAGTTGTCAGACGGGAAATTGAGTTACTCTTGCTCGCTTGGTCCTTTCCCATGCACAGCACCCTTCTCTCGTTCTGGTCTCTTGCGCATCCTCTCTCTACATGTTTTTATCTGCCGCCCCTTTCGCTGTCGTGCTTTTATTTTACGTATCTCTTTTCAAGCTTCTGATTGTACTATAAATTACAGCTCGATATCCGAGAAAGAGCGTACTCTAATACGTAATATTGGTAATATACCCCGTCATGCCAATATCGCGCCAATCTTGCATTAATATTATCGGGACGGGTCGAAAGTCTTTGATTATTTCTATCTGCGATGTTATTACATTTTAAAACGTCGATTAACTTTAACCTTTACTCAATCGACTCCTTGTTTCTTTGCAGGGCTATAATTAGAAAGAGATATAGAGAATACGTCAGAATTATATAAAAATGTGACACTGTAGCGAAAATATTAAAGAATTAAGAATGACTTTGTCTAAATATCTTTTCACTATGTCGAAGCGATATCCCAAATAACACGATGGAGATTCGTATAATAAAAATCGAGAGTTTATCTTTCCCTATCCTATGCCTGCACGGATTTCCTGATTTTTGTGATTCCTTTCGGCGATAAGAGGATTCGTCCCCTTCGATATATCGGTTTTCCCTCGCCGGCACTTAGAGCAATCCATGAACCGTGCATTTGGCTTTCACATCTCTTTTTTATGTATATATTGCAATACTATTTAGTCAATTATGTCAATTTTACAGACACAATTACACGAATTTTATTATTTTACGAATTATATGAAATCATTAGATGAATTATATGAAATTCACACAAAATATTATTAGGCATCAAAACCCGCTTTGACCGAATATGGATTTTTTCATTTATTTGATTAAATATTTCGATCGATTTTCATTTAATAGCATTTACATGAATTTTGCGCTTTTCATGTATGATGAAATATTTTAATGCCCCATTCTCTATACGATTATACTTTACTATTATTCATTATTATAGATATAAATTTGTCATATACAATTTCAATCATTGTGTTGATGTAAATGTCAATTGACGGATTCTTATTCACGAAATAATGATCATCATTAAGGGGAGAAAATCTAAATTTAATAAGTTATATTTAATACAGTAAATATAATCATGTAAGTAATCGTGTAAGCGCAAGTTTTTGAGAAAGTAATCCGCATATTTTTGCATGCTAGTGCGCGCAGATGAAAATAGAAGACAAAGCAATAACGGCAATTTCCATTTCTGTCGATTTTGACGTAACGAATTATCGCGTGTACGATACAGGAAAAAAAGAGGGATGTTTTTCGCAGCGGAAAGAAATGCCATCAACGTAGAAATACAAGCCTTCCGCAATCTCACGTATAACGCCACGCTACGAGCACGGGGGTCCTCGATTGAATCAAAAAATAAATTCTATCCTCCTGTCCTCCCATTGGCGCAGCAAATCGTGTTCGACTACCCCACCGTCAAATATCTGCCATTCGCCCGCAGCGGGCTCCTTCCGCCCAATACTATCGTCCCTTGTAAACTCGTCCTCCCTCGTTCCGAAAATTCGTCCGAATCGATCCATGCCGAAAGTCTGTGATACGAACACGTTCGGTCCTTAGTGTTACCTACTCAAAGAACACAAGTCTCCTCTCAGCGTCAATGGCTGAAATGCGATGGAGACCGGTTTCCGACACTGGTTTCCGACCTTGAAACTTTCGACCTTCATTCACGATGTGCCAACTGGAAGCGCAAGAAATTCGCTCGTTTACACGCCTCGCAGTACTTTCAAAGATTAATGAAGCATACAAATACTGTACACGCTGCGAAGACTCTCATTTTTACCCCCCCCCTCCTCTCCCTCCCTCCCTCCCCCAAAAAAGATGTAAACGAGAAGAAGATAGATTCTTTATCTAAAAATTGCGTGACGATGTTAATACTGATCTCATACATATCTAACATTCAGCTTTATGATTTATTATTTGTGTCTGTTTTATTTGAGTTGCCCTGGAGCAAAAATCCCTTTAATCCTCGCGTAGCGTATCGACCATCGCGCTCACACGAGTCGACTTAGGGAATGCCGCGGATGATAATCGGCCAACGATGTGACGGTAGTACAGCGTGGCGAATCTCGTGGCCATGGCCGAGGTATATAGGTGGAAAAGCGAGGGATGGGCCAATCGGAGGGCGACCTCCCTGGGGACACGACCATGGTTGCCATGGTTGCGTCCGAGAACCCTCTTAGGCCTTTTGCACGATCCCTCGCGGTTCGGACGGGCCGCGTTTACATGCCGCGTACGCGTACGCGTCGTGTGCCTTGCCACGCTGTGCCATGGCGTACCGCGTAATGTGTTCTATGTTCCATTAGAGTTCCTGGCACTTCATTCTTCGTCTTTCACATTCAACATCACTTTGCCATTCAACGATCGTCCAACAATCGGTCCAACTCGGCGATCTCCGCGATTCCTCTCTTTTATCCTCCTCTCCAGCAACCTCTACTATCTTTTTCTTTTCACCCTCTTTCACTCAGTCTTCCTTTCTCTCTTACCTTCTCTCTCTCTCTCTCTCTCTCTCTCTCTCTCTCTCTCTCTCTCTCTCTTTCTTCCTCGTCAAACTTCTCCTTTTCCCTCCCACGCCGGAACTCCCGGTTTCCTGCACTTAGCAAGATCAATACCAGCCAACGAGGCTTGAAAACATGCGTCAACATGGTCTTGCACTGTTTGTACGTCCACATAACGCTCAGCGCGCCCGGCTACTCTACCACCACACTAAACCCCGCCGGCCACTTCGTCGACCCTTTCGTCTCTTCATACCGCGCTAGTACAGGTGAGAGGCAGGAGGTGGAAGGTAAACGCGGCCAAACAATGTTCGATAAGGCTACGTATGTATTAACGGTTTGACGTTGGTATTAATTATAATTATACAACACGGCATTTTGCAGCCCTTGTATGATTAAAAACTGAAGGATGTTATCGAAATGGGAGAATTGCTAAACAACGTCAACATGTATTATGGATATGGTTACACATGTAACAGGAACTTAATCGCATTGAAAATAATATTTTCATGTTGCTAATAACTATTTAGAATAGATTACTGTAGAAATGGGAAGAAAATATAATTATGACTACAATTGTAATTCAACTGTGTCGCGTTATATGTAACAAAATGTAGTAATATATAATGTAATGAATTAAAATAGGTCTTTTGATTTAATCCGTTCATTCTGGAGTTACAATTAGACAACACAAGCATTTGAAATGCCTATATAAAGAACATTAAAATAAAATAAGTATATTGTAACAATTCAAATGTCCGGATTTTAAAAAAATCTTTGAAACTCTTTAATTGTATAACTTTTTTAATTATCGCGGAGGTTAATATTTATGTTTCCTTTACTTTGATTATCACAATTTTTCTACCAGTTGCAGCCTTTGCTACATCACATGAAGAATATAAACTCGTTTTGCAGAAAAGCGTTGGCGAACGGAGAGAGTTTTGTAGAAACTTTATGAGGAAACGAACAAGAATTGCAGTAGTATTACCCACTTTAAATGCAAGGTTTTGTGAGTTTTCTTATAATTTAAATTATTCTTATTTCGTCGAAATTCTGTCTCTCGTTTTCCTTAATTCTTGACTTTGTCGACGCAATCAAAGATTCTTCAAATTTGTAAAATTTTCCAAGTCCTTCAGGACATTGGATAAAATTCAATTATCGTTTTGCAATGTCCAATTCGATCCAAAACATTTCGATTTGTATAACTGTGTTCCATATTCTCATTTAATAATTTTTAAAATAAAATTTCCAACACATAAATGCAGTATTATAAGAAAAATACATGTTCTAGCGCACATTCTAATAAACAAATAAATCGTGCATCTGCTTATGTATCGCAAACTGAGAAAAATTGTACCCCGCGCGTACATAAGAATAATACATAAATGGCGACGAAGCGGTGCGATCGGACGAAAGAGGTGACGAAATCCCATTGGAAGTGAGAGCTCGCGAGTGGCATGCGGCATCAAGCTCTCGCCGTCGGAGGTGTTTAATGTTCCCCACGTACGAGCACGTGGCCGCACGTTAAAAGCGTTTAATGAAAGGGCGTCGTCGCACTTACGCCGTTCGACCCTCCCAGGAGGAACGGGCGGAATAAGAAGAATAAGAAGAGAGAAAGATGCGCCCGGGGAAAACGTTGCGAAGCGAAGGCGAGGGCGAGAGAGGAGGACAGGTGGGTGGAGCGAATGTCGGTAGAGGAAGCGCACACACGCCGCATTCGCACATTCACACTCACCTGGATACGTGCCTCAGGTAATCCGATCTTCTCGGCGAGACGCTCCCGTGCAAACACGTCCGGGTAATGTGTCCGCTCGAATTCTGAAACGAAACCAGTTTGCAACAAGTGCTCGTTATTTAGCCGCGTCGTCGGCATTAATTATCGCGATATAAACGAAGCCGACTATTGCGTATTTTCTCTCAACCAAACGGATTCCAAAGACCGAATAGAGGAGAATACCGATTCTCGATATGTCGATATTCCGATTGCTTTTCAGTTTATCACGAACAAATATGTGAAAAGTTTTAATTTGAAGAAGCTCAAGGGCCAAGAAGAAAAATTATATAATTGCCAACATTGTGAATTGCGAGGCATTACACGTCCAATTAAATTTTTAAAAAAGGGAAAATTAATTGAAACAAGAGTTTATAGTCGAGGAAAAGCATGTGATTTCTAAAGTCGTATATATAATACTATTATATATAATACAAGTGACTGTTAAAATTGATAATTTTTCGGATTTTCTACTAACCTTTCTCGAGGCTGTCTATCTGCTCGTTAGAGAAGGAAGTTCGGTTGCGCTGCAATTTCCTCTTCAGCCTCAGCCGCACTTGCGAATCCTCGTCGCCAGAGGAGTTGTGCTCCGAATTACCGTCCGAAGTTGTCTCCTGCTGATGCGACAATAGAGACCCGGTGTCTGGAACAAGAATTAATTACCTTTCCTTCAGAATGTATTGTTTCAGCTATCTTAAAGATAAGTATTCCTCGATTTACGATTAAACAATAAGATTAATTTCATATTATATACATTTCAAGTATAATCATAATCGTACAAAAAAATGACTGTCTCCTTCTATTTCTTAAACTGTAACTTAATCATTTTTCCATCATTTAAATGATAAAGATTCAAAATCTCCGGCATTTTTCTCATATTGTACGAAGCATCTAATTATAAGAGAGTTTGCCGTTTCGTGTCAAATCAATCGGTCGATCCCATAACACGATCCGCCGTTCTTGAGATTCCTAGACACCGCCGCGCGTTCAGGCGTGCGCGACCGGTCTTCGGGGTCGCATCTCGTGTTGGTGCGTCGGCGTTGGTTCGTACGCGCGCAAGGGTAGCCCCTCGTCAAGCCCCGTGGGCCGCGATTACTTTCCGCCTCCGCGCACCACACCCTCGTCTCTTTCCATTCCTCCCGGTACCTTCCCTACATCCCTCCGTTCTGTCCG